TTACTACCCATTTTATTTATTTTTTTGTTTTTTTTACTTTATTTTTTTTGAAATATATTTTTAACGTGTTACGTATGGAAGAAATTAATAAAGATTTGAATTTTGTTAAGTTGAAAGATTATAAAACACTTTTTTAATTGAAAGTTTCTAAAGAATCTTTAACACTATCTGTGATGGCTTATTTTATTTTCTCAGTGATGGGGGGGGGGGTTCTGGCCCCTCCTTTTTTTTAATATCTAATATTTTTACATGCTGCTACTGAGAGAACCTGTTGTTAAAATATTTGAATCCCACCAATGGCATCAAGAAAGGGTATAGACTTCTGGACATTATCAGTATGACTAAATGTGAGCTACATATTGCGATGTTGATTATTAAGGAATTCAAAGAACACCAGAAGAGAAGGAAGGAAGTCCATGATTCCATACACCAAAATGACACCAATATACATAATGGTCCAAAATTATCTTTCCTGTTTTAAACTTTAATAATTAAATAACTAAAGAAATAAAACAATGCAGTTTTCAACATCTTATAGTCCAATTCAAAGTTTTTATTATCATGTTGTTTTTTTTTCACTAAAATGAGTAGTGTTACTCTGTAAAATGGCAACTGTGCAAGAAAAGGCTCAATGTGATGGATTGGTGGAGGTAGTTCAATTCCATGGTCTCTGTATTCGTCAAACATCACAACACTAGACTTCTTTCTTTGGGGGCATATTAAGGACATCATGTATCTCACACCTATAGGATAATGGATGTCATTGGCACTGTAACTGTAGACATGTTGCAGCAAATGTTGACTGGAATTGAATATTGGTTAGCTGTGTTGAGAGTCACTAATGGGGCACATGTAGAAGACTACTGATATATCAAAAAAAGATGTTTGAGTTGGGCTACAAGATGTTGAAAACTGCATGGTTATATTTATTTAGTTAATTAATTTTTAAATTGTAAAATAGGAAACATAATTTTGGACCACTCTGTATATCTGTACCACCTAGCTGGTTCAAAATTAGTTTCAAAATTCTACAGAGTAAGAGCTGATGATTCAAAGAAATGCATCAAAAAAGGACAAAATGACAGCAATACCTTTTATTTGTTTAAACCTGTTATAACTTAATAGAATTGAAAATATCTGCAACACCATGAACGAAAGATGCAAGCCAGGATTAAATTTCAAAAGCTTCTTTTATCCAGTGGTTATCCATAAAGTTACATTACTAAGATTATAAAATATTCCACAATTTTGACTCACAAGATTCAAACTTCGGTTAAAAGTAGCAGCGTAGGCGGTAAGTGCTGTTGGCTGGCTGTCCTTCTTCCATTTAATGGCTATATATTTGGGATGCCTTTAGAGTCTCTAACTTGTCTGCTAATGTGCTTTTAATGTTGAAAATTCCAAATACATAACATTTGACTATTTTTGTGATATAAAGAACATTTCAGGTGACTAACAATAGGAAGAATTGTTCAAAAAAGTATTAGTTTGCTCACTGTACCAAACTATAACTGAATAAATTGAAGAAAAACAACAACAACATTTTAATCCA